ATCTTACTGTTTATCTACAAAACTTAGCTAATCCATTGCTAGTTATGCCACGCACTGAAAAGAGAGAATGTGAACAATACCTACGAGAATACCCAGTATTAAGAAAAAGTTAAAGATTAAGTTCATAATGAATAATTTTTAAGAAATTATGAAAATTTTGTAATTGTCTTACTTTTACTAGATTTGAATGATTTTTTAGAAATTTGATTACACTGTTATTGTGCATATCTTCACTAATGTGTGTATATCAATGATATAATTTTTATAAGTAAATAAATTACATTAAAAGTTAAAAAAAGAAAGATAGGCCAATACATATTAGTATTAGTTACAAACATCAATGTAAACAGCCTCAATTAACCAATCAAAATGAACAGAAAAAAAAGGAACAGAATGATAGAGTACATTAAGAAACAAAGTCCAACAACATGACAGATTCACACCTGAATTCCATAAGAAATTGAGATAAGATTTAATGCCAACTTTTCTCAAACTCTTCAATGAAATTGAAAGGGAAGCAATTCTTCCAAATTCATTGCTGAAGGTAAGTGTTATTTTGATACCAAAACCACAGAAAGGCCCAACTACAAAAGAGAATTACAGGCCAATCTCTTGAATAAACATAGATGCAAAAATCTTCAAAAAAATATTAGCAAAGAGAATACAGCAAATCATTAAGAATGTTGTACATCACAACTAAGTGGATTTTATTCCAGGAATTCAGGGATGGTTCAATATATACAGATCCATAAATGTAATGTATCATATCAACAGAGCCAAAGACAAAAACCACATCTCAATAGATGCAGAAAAATCTTTTAACAAAGTCCAACAGTCATTCTTGATAACAACCCGATAGAAAATTGGTATAGATGGTCTATATCTCAACCTGATAAAAGCCATATATGACTAACCAACAGCCAACATATACTAGATGGACAAAAATCGAAAGCTTTCATTTTAAAATCAGGAACAAGACAATGATGTTCACTGTCTCCATTCTTATTTAATGAAATATGGGGAACTTAGCCAGAGTAATTAGACAAGAGAGAGAAATAAAAGGAATAATGATTGGAAAGGGGGAAGTGAAATTATCATTGTTTGCAGATGGCATGATACTCTACAAAGAAGACCCAAAAACCTCCACTAAGAGACTTGTAGATTTAATAACCAAATTCAGTAGTGTAGAAGGATACAACGTCAACACTGAAAAATCAGTAACATTTTTGTACACAAATGAATGGACCAAGAAAGAAATGAGGGAAACCATGCCTTTCACAATAACATCCAAGAAATGAATCTCAGTGTTGTTTAAATTTGCAATTCTAAAATGGATAGTCTGTAATTTTTTATTGTAGATTTATTTTAATGAAAAGTTTGCAATTCCTGAGTAGTCCAATATCTATGACTCTCACAAATATTTTTCATTATCTGCTTTCTTCTGTGTCTGAGTCACACTTTAATCTTTCCTTGAATGACTCAAAACTGCACATTTAAGATAACATACTGAAGCAAAGAGAGACACTGATTTATTCATCCCATTTAAGATTTTTTTATTTAGTGATTAGTGCAACCATTTTAATGAGGTCTCTGTGCACAACAGGAAGTCTCCAATCTTGTTCCCTAAAGACTACAGCTTTGATCATACACGTTGTTGTTGTTGTTGTTGTGTGTATGTGTGTGTGTGTGTGTGTGTGTGTGTGTGTGTTACTGGGTTGGTTCCAGGGCATCACACAAGTGCTCAAGGGCTCTCCTACTGACCTATTACCTCCAGTCCAATTGGTTATAATTGGATTCTCTTCAGTTGCCTTTTTCCTTATTTTTTTTATTAAACTAAGCAAAAATATATCTAACACTATTATTATAGAACTTAATTATTTTTATTAATTTTATTGAGAAAGAAATAGAAATGAGACAGTTTCAAAACAGGTAAGTAGGACAGTTACAATAATTAATACACTGCATATTGTTGTATTCGTAGTAGTTATTCATAGCACAAGATGCAGACATGATATCTTGTCCAGATACTATTAGTTCAAAACTTTCTTCTCATTGAACTAAGAGAAAGTAGCTGTATATCTATCTATCTATCTATCTATCTATCTATCTATCTATCTATCTATCTATCTATCTATATTCCACTACAAAGTGGTCCTTCATTTATGTCCCCTTTTTGGTTTACTTTTGTCAGAGATGGGTACTCCACTAAGACTAAATAACAACTGAATAGCTAACATATGATAAATTACTTGACATTTTCATCAGCTAGAGGAAATAGCATTACATTTTTCACATTCATCATCAAAACTATGTCTTCTAAAATAAGTCCAGGAAAATTTCCTATCACCACAATAAGTGTAAAATGAGTAGAGTAGTACTTGTGATAAGTGCACCAATCATATATTTAGGTCACAATAATAGTGAATTTTTAAGGATTACTACTTGAGTGCATGAGTCCTAAAATTAATGATACCTAGGTAATGTTTCATTAATAGTAAATTATTACAGTTCTACTAATTGTAGGAATTTGTAGAGCCACATTTGAGATAGTTGAGTAGCACCTGAGATAGTTGTGCCGATCATAACATTTAATTCATAATCATAGTACATGTTTAAGGGATTACTACTTGAATGGTTGTGTTGTGAAACTAATGACATCTCGGTAATGTTTCATTGGTAGCGATAGATAGAGTTCAGTTATAGGAGAGAACTTATGAATACTTTATATATAAATACAGATGCCAACAAGGATCTGTATTTAATGAAACTATAGAGAAGCTAAAATAACACCAGTAGAGAAGTTTTTTAAAAAAATCCTTGTTCTTACCTGGTTTATTCTCTAATTGTGGCTTGAATGGTCCCTTTATTATGCCTTTTGCAGTAGCATCTGTTGAATGTTCTATGCTAGAATCTATAAAGATATAACAGATTTTTTTGTGGTACTGGGAATCAAATGATAAAACAAATTTTTAAAATACTTTGAAAGATAAACTCTGACATACAACTGTCTCTGTGTGCATTAGCATTGTGTGTATGTGTGTGGTACACATCCACATGGGTAGTAATAACCTAATCAACATTTATTTATTTATTTATTTATTTTTCAAAGTTTTATTGATAAACAGATAGCAATGAGACAGTTTCAAATCAAATCGGAAGTACAGTTTCAACAAATAATACACTGCATATATT